TCTCAGCAGTGCCATGGATTATATCACTTCTCGTTATGCAAGCACCAAAAACTGAGGAAATATTTCTCCATAAAAATACACATAAGTTCAGGTGGCCTTTGGAGAGATACTGCCAAATGTGGAGTGTCATTCCAGCCACTAATAAAAAAATTAAAATAGAAGTTCAGTTTCTTTTCCTCTTGCAAATAGATGTCAGCACATTCTTAGTGGTGGAGCCTTGACATCTTTGTAAAAAGCAGCACTTTCAGAAGTGTTTCATATTATTTAACAAAGGTGTGTTTTTATTGTCAGCTTAGTTGTGAGACGACAACTCTAATGACAAGACAACTGATCTTGATTCAAGCAACCTCTAAGTACATCTGTGAACTCACTTGGCATTGCCTGCAAAAGTGTCCAATTTCTAGGACAAAACAAGAGAATAAAAATCTGTTTTTCCAATTGTGAAGGGGTAACTCAGCACTTAGAAGCAATTTAGGAGGAAAAAGGCATTTCAAACACAGGCTTTTGAGCAACAGCAATTTTCTAACTTGTGATTCTGTCCAAGCTAATGAAGACATCAGAAACTAAAGTTAGCACGTCAAAGCTGCCAACAAGCATACGTCATATCTTTTTTGTACTGCTAGAGCTACTATAAATAAAACCTAGTGAAACAGTGGATTCAAACAAAGTATTGCAAAACTTATCAAATGTATTATTCATATGACTTCTGGTAAGAGTAAACAACATTCATAAAAAGCCGTGGACAGACATATGGCTCCTGTATGCATTGCTGGAAATGACTTGCTGAACAGTGCTACGTGAAACTATGACACGTGAAGCTGAAATGGATGCGTATTTCCACAAATGCTACTAAAAGTGAGGCGTAATTCATCAATTCTGCCAAGTCTGTGCCAGGTGTTTTGACAAGTATAATCAAAATATGTAAATGATCAAAAAGCCATGGTCCAGAAGCTTATTTTAAAAGAAGCTTATTTCAAAAACAAAAACATAAAACCATGACAAAAATAAGCTTCCGTTTGCTACCACTTCTACTGAACAACATACAACCACTGTTAAAAACCAGGAGCAGTGCAATCATGTCAAAGAACAGTGGACATTTGCATGAATTTTATTTTTCACAGAGCTCTTTGGTATTGTTCAGGTAAAACAGCAGTGCAGTATCATTTTTCTATCTCTTCCTGGACCCACTGAACTGCACCCTGTAAGCTCCCAGGGCTGTGGTGCTCATATTTAACTGTTCCTCCTTTCAGGACTCACCCTGCAGGACTACAGCCCTGAAGCATGCAGCTTACTAAAAGCTTGTGCTCTCTACAGGATGATCCTCATTCTGAAAGAATTGGGAGAACCATGGAGAAACCTGTGGTTGCATTGCTCTCATGCTTTATATCTACAGTGCTATTTCCTATCACCTCTGTTAAATGACTCGACTTTCACTTTAAGGCTGAATCCCAAAACTTCTCGCTCTTCCTTGGTTGTATTACATCCATAAGCATCAGCAGAGACAGTCAAATGGAGTTCTCCATCAGAGAGTCCACCCCAAACACAGGGAGTGGCTCAGGAGCTCACTGATGAGGCAAAAGCCTGCATCAAACCAAGCCTAGCATTGTTACTAGTGCTGTCAATGAACTAAGGTATGGCTGGCCTTGCTGCTCTCAGCATGCTGCATCAGCTACCCCTGTGTGAGAAATCAGAATCTCTGCTGTCCATGGGTAATCCAGTTGAAATTTTACTCAATATGAGGGGCAACTTTAAGCAGCTTTGTGCACAGGCTCTCCAGCCTTCCCACCTGCCAAATTCTACCATCAAAAACCATGACTGGAGCTGTAACAGTAACAATAACAAAAAGCTTCAGCACAAAACGTCTATAGTATACCTGCTATTGATCTTCAAGCTTCTTTCTTAAAATTAATGCTGCTATTTAGCCATGTCATCTTTCACAGCTGTTTCTCCTGATTCACAAAAATGAGAGCTACCCTACAAGGAAATTTCTAGGGAGGTTTTCTCTGCATCAGAACTACTCCTTGCATCATCTGTACTGCAACAAGTGTTCTCTGGACAAAACAGCCCCACACAGAGATTGCATGGCTCTCGTGTAGCAGCACTGCCCCACAGCCGCCGGAGCTCTGCTTCTTGACTCAGCCACTTGTTCCTGGAACCTGTGCTCGTGTCAGAGCACAAAGTCAGAGAACAAGTGTTACTGGAATTCGGACCCACTCCTTACAAAGCGAAGTGACCAAAAGCAGTGTCCAGTGGGAAGTGGGAGTGTGATCAAAAAGTGGCACAGAACAAACAATATTGTGCAGTTGTTGGCAGGCTATTGCTAGTAAACATTGAGCTTAAGACTGAAGTAAATGAGATCAGAGGGAAATAACACCTAACCTTAAGGCACTGGCCACTCATTTGAGGGTACCTTCATCAAAAGCATCAATTAATGCTCAATCCTGTTAAAGCTGCTCAGTGTGGCCTTGTTAAGCCTTGTAGCACTGAATACTGATGTTCCAGACCTACAGCAGAGCCTTCAGCAAGGTGTCTCTGGCTCTGTTACCTACACTGCAAATTTCTGAAGGGAGTGAATTTTTTTCTCCCTGGATACCTCTCTGACACAAGCAGCAGGAATTGGAAGTGTTCTACATGTACCAGAATGGCTCTTAGAAAGCCCAGGTGTGACCCTTGTGAGCATTAATAAGAGATTTAATATTGACTCCAATGGCAGCAATTAGGACCTTGAACATCAATTATCAGAAAAAAATAAACAAAAAATGAGCTTACTAATATGCAGAACTGATGAGCATTTGCAAAACTGAAACTCAAGGCACTTGCTATCACAGCTTCCAGGCAAGTGTAGCTCCATTATTTCGTTGCTCATTTTTTCCAAAAACTGTATTTGTATGCATCATTTTAAAAGTAAATATAGAAGAGTTTCTTCTGGGCAATGACTTTTCAGGAATTTTAAGTCATGGTATGCTTTTCCTTCTCCCATTTTTGCTTACACAAAAATGATGGAAATTATTGGCAGCTATTTTGGTCAAGACCATATTATTAAACTGACAGGACCAGCATAGAATCAAGTGCTCATTTAGCTTCTTACCAGATTATAGATAACAGCTTTTAGTTAACTTTCAATGCTAACTGGCTAACTTTCAGCAGTGTCCCACTCTACTTAGATACGGGAGGCAGGTTGGAAGGGAAACACTTAAGCCAAACATTCTACAGAACACTGTTTTTATCTTTAATGAAGATTCTCTACTTTTTCAAAAGGCTTTTCTACTGTAGATCTGAAAAAAAAGTTTGCTGAACTGGATTCAGTGAGCTTAATAAGCTAATTCTTGTGCGTATTTTAGGCAGTAGTATTTCAACAAGGCTTTTAGAAAGGATTCTTCTTTTCCTTCCCCTCCCTTAAAGCTCATGAGCTACAGTGAACTAGACTATAACACAGAACTCTATTATTAGCCAATAATTCTACAGTAAATCCAATATTAGCTGTTTATTTGTAAATGCCTTTGCTGTAAGCAACAAAATGCCCCCATCCTGTCTGAATACCTGTGTTATAATACAGTACATATGCAAGCAGCAGTATATATTGCTTATAAGCCATTCTGATGAAATTGCCCATGAAAATATGAGCGTAAGGCAGGTTTCAATAGCCTGTTTCTCATGAACGTACAAAACAGCTTGTTATATATAGCCATTTTTAAACATTAAGATCTCTGTGCCCACCACCCATGATTTCAAAACACTGCTGTGGAATTAGAGGTATCACTGTCCAAATTTAAACCCTTCCACTTGAATTTCTAACAAAAATTGGCTGACACTAACTCTTCAAGTGATAATGAAAACCTATGGCAAAACGTACTCTAGGATTGGGTCTGAATGGTGACATGATTTACCCAAGATTTACACAGTTAGCATACAGTAGCACTGTCAGGCAGGTTTTAGCTCATCCAGCATTATTTCATATCTGCCACTGTATGTAAGTTACTACAGAGGCAACTTAGCAAAGGTTACCCAATGGCAAAGGCTGACAGATGTCTGGAAACGTTCAAAGGAAACACTTGCTCTCCTGTATTTAATTTCTCTAATTCACAATTATTGTATGAGTGGTGAACTAAATTCCCTCATCAACCTCAGCTGCTGAGAGCAGAGATGCAGTGCTAGGATCTTCCTGGGAGCATGCATAGGGCCTCCTGCTGAACACTGCCCTGCCAGCACCGGGGGAAAGAAGCAGGAGCTCAGTTTGAATCTGAGCTGACAAAAAGACAAAGCATGCAGTAATGCAATGGCTGACTTCATTCATTCTCAACTATGTGACTACTGTAAAGGGGAGGCATGTAGTCTTGGGGAGAATACTGTGTTACCATAAAGTTCAAGGTGGGCACAGAAGCATGGCAGAAGGGCATCTGCTAGATTTTGATGATATTGACTGCAGGAGGTCCAGGGATCACATCTTCCTATTGGAGATCTGGGGATTGCCTCGTCCTATTTGATGTTTTTATGAATTATATTTTCGTGCACCATTTCAGCTACAAACGACATTCAGTAACTAGAATAAACCAGAAGTTTTTCTCTTTCCCTTACAAACTGTCAACTACCTTAACCTTGTCAAGAAGCCCACAAGAATGAAATCAATACAGCAATTTGAAGACAAAATTGGCAGGCGTTTTTATTGTGCTTGGACACACGGAGTAAATAGCCTCATACATCAGCCTACCGTCACCAGAGGGACCGCTCCGAGACGGACCAGTGCCGCTTTTACAACGCGCTGTCACCGCAGAGGGAGCCCAGCGGGGCGGAGGGAGTGCGGGAACAGCGCCGGGCAGAGCGGGGAGCGCTGGTGTGGGCTCAGGTGTCCCCCAGCCACCGTGCCGACAGCCCCCGGCCCCGCTCGGACCCCCGCAGCCCGCTCCCTATTCACTGTTCGCCTTACCGTCCCTTCCCGGCTCGCTGCCCGACCCTCTCCCACTTCCTCGCCCACTCGGAGCGAGGAAGTTGCCGGGACTTACTGCGCCCGTGCTCCCGGCGCTCTCCGCTCGCTCCGCGGCTGCCGGCTCCCAGACGGCCCTCGGTGCTCGGATGCACCGGCACTCCGCGTCCAGCTGTGGCTCAGCCCAGAGCCGTGCCCGTCCGGCGGAGCCGTACCTCTGCGAGCATCCGCCTCCTCTTGTCCGCGACGCTCTCTCCTTCCTCCCCAAACCCCGGGCGCCGAGAGGGCTTCGCGCCGACGTCGGAGCGGGGCAGATGGAGAGCGCCCGGCGGCAGCAGCGCCTCCCCCAAGCCCGCCTCCCCGCTGCTCCCGGCCGCCTGCTGCCGGCGGGGCTGCCGCGCCGAGCGGGCGGGGCGGGGGCGGCCCAGCGGAGGAGGCGGGGGAGGCAGAGCGGAGTCCTGTCACCCGCGTGGTGTTGGGGGGCGGGGGGTGCGGTGCCCGAGCCGCCGCCTCTGGGCACTGCGTGCCGTGAGGGCGCGGCGCCTCAAGGCTCCCATCAGCAGAGCGTAGCTCTGCGCTCTCCCGTCTCCTCCTCCTCGTCCCGGAGAAGTTCCTCTGAGCTCAGCCCGTGTTTCGGGAGAGAAAAGCCACGGGGACGCAGGAAGGGAGGCTGCCGGCCGAGGGGAACGGAGTGCGGGCTGAGGGAGCGGGGTTCAGGCTGCCTGTGTCCGCAGAGAAACTGCAGTCGGTGCAGCGGCCGGCAGTCATCTAAACCCCTGTTCCAAAAGTTATGCGAGCCTTTTAAGCACGTGGAGATCCCGGGAAAAGATTTACCCCTCCGCCCCACGCTGCTCCGGAGGGAGCAGAGCCCTACTCGCGAGGGAGCAGCGGCTGTCGGGGCGTGAGTGCGGCACCGCGCTATGCAAGCTCCCGCTTCTTTAACGTCCCCGGCTGACACATCCTCAAGCCGGGGAGAGGGGGCTCACCCCGCGGTGCCTCCGAGCGCGCAGCGGGCAGCTCCCAGCAGGTGGAGCCGGGGGACAGCGAGAGTCGCCCTCTTCAACCATCGTCCCTTTCAGATTTCAGCCTTCGCTGTAGGCTTTGCTCTTAGAAACAGCGAGGAGAGTCTGTGGGACACGACCTCTCATAGTGCCGTGCTTACTTTGCTGTTTGCAGATCTTTGGCAGAAGCAGAGAACTCGTGGAGATTTCCATGGGCTGCATCAGTCCCAGAGCCCCCCCGTGCAGCACTGCTGTGAGCCCATCACCAGACAGGGAGATCAGCTCCATGCTAAGTGCTGGAGATCACGAAATCATAGAGTAGAATAATAGAAAAATTATTTTCTAAAAAGAAAATGGAAAAGACCGCTAAGTTCACCTAGTCCAACCGCCAAGCCATCCTCACCATGCCCACTGACCATGGTCCTCAGTCCCACATCCACACGTTTCTTGATCACCTTCAGGGACGGTAACTCCACCACCTCTCTGGGCAGCCTGTGCCAATGCCTCAAAGCCCTTTCTAAGAACCTTTTCCTCATATCCAGCCTGCATCTGCCCCGGTGCAACTTAAGGCCATTACCTCTCATCCTGTCACTGTTACCTGGGCTGGTAACACTGTTACCAGCCTGCAAGATATCTGTGGAAGAATGGTTGGTAGACACACCCATAGCCCAAAGATTTGAGAGAGGAGAATTCTTCCCTTCACTCTGACAGTAACTCATGTGAGGAAAGGTAGCTTCTTAAAGATCTGGATGCTTGGAATATTTTCTTTTCCAGGAGCTCCAGAAGCAGCTGAGAGGGTAGATCACCATGTGCAGATTGCTTTAGGACTGAACTACATATGTCACTCCAAAAGTAATGGCTCCTATTTATTTCCATGGAAATGACAATAGATACAAAGAGCACAATGATACTATTTGATAGAGCACATTTTCAGCTACAAAACACTGTTTTTCAGCATAGTCACCACATTTAGCTCTGCATTTTCGCCAGCAGTGAACAAAAATTTGCATGCTGAAAATATGCACCAGTGGAGGTGCTCCACTGTTACTGTAACCACGGCTGAAATGCATCACCCAGCACTCACTGTACTCACATCCACTATCTTGTACCCCTAAGCATTCAACAAGCATCAACAGATGTCAATGGGTGCCAGCAAGAAGATGTGATGGAATATTGAACAGGCTCTTTCCTGGTGATTTCTGCCCAGCCCTTTAGTTTTTGGACATTTCTGGCTAATTGCATTCATTCTGTCATTGGAATTGTCACATTCTCAGTGACTGTTTTTGTACTTCTTTTAAAACAGATTTTTTATTGCTCTGTTTTCTTAGTGATGTTTGTCTGCTGAGGTACAACTCTACCGTTCCATACTATAAAAAGTTTTTTTCTTTCTTTCTTTCTTTTTTTTTTTTTATTTTTTAAATAAACTTTTTGTTAACCATTACCTTGAACATGAAAGTAACATTTCCTGATTTGTTCTGCTCTAAGCAATTCCATCATACCCTTGGGACTGCAAGCATGAATAGTTACTATTTGGCATGCATGTGCAGTGCTGATCAGGCCCATAAATAACCACTGGAAAATTACTATTAATGGTACCTTGATGGTTTTATTTCTGTTCATGCTCAGGAGTCATTACAACATGTTGACTTCTGTGTGGAAGAGGTGGCTGAGCTACTGCTGTGTGTTGTGAGACGGGGGTTTTTCCTACTTGAAAAAATAAGAAAGTAAAAACTAGGTAGTAAGATTTCAGTAATTTCTTTCTGTTATCAAGAATAATGTATTTTCTATGTAGCCCAAATTTCTGTAGTTTGGCTCTGTGAAAGTAGGAATTTGTTCCTTTTTGCAGCATTTTTTGAATATATTTTGTCTACCTTGTTCTACAGGAGAGAATGCCACTTATGAAGTATGCGCTGTCCTCGTTTACAGCTGGACCTATGAATGTTCGCAGTTTGGGCAGAGATGTTTCCACCATCTGTTAAGGATGCCTGCACTGCAAACTATTTGGAAGTGAACAGTTTCCCTTCACAGTTTGTGTACCTTTCCTAATAGGCATGGTACATCCCATGGTACATCCCAGTGAGAAAGACTGGAGCACAGTGTCTTCAGATAAGGATTTGTTCATATCTATGTTGTTTGAGGCAAACAAAGAGTGAGCGCTGAGCTGTCCCCTGATGACCATGTAGGTATGCTCTGCACAGTGGTAAGCAGTGCATTGGGGTAAGTGCCACACGCTTTATTTGGATGAGAAAATGGGAGGAGTGAAAGACTACATTTAAACAAAAATGGTAATAAATATGACCTGATCCATTTCAGGGGGAAAAGAATCAGAATTTGCCATTACCTTCAGCACAAGTCGCATCAGCCCCGTTAAGCCTTCAGTGAGAATATTTAAGTCTCCTGTGTACGACTTTGTAATCATGACTTTGCACTCCTAGGATTGACTTGATTAAGAACTGTGAGCACAGTTACAGCACTATCAGCAGCTGTGCAGACTTCCTAACTCTGCTGCCTGTAAACATGTCAGCTCAGTGAGAGGGAAATTCATGGAGCTAGCACTGCATAGCTGCCATTCAGGCCATGTGCTCCCAACCAGAAAGTTTCTAATTTTTAGAGAAAGATATCACTCTGGAATTAGGGATTTGAAGAATGGCAAATAAAGAGCTTTCTGAATCTACTGCTTGAAGAAGTCCATTCAAAACTTGAAAGGTGAGGAGAGGTATAGAAATCCTCGAGAGGCTGAAAGGTATATGAACAAATTAGACTGGGATTATTGGGGGAACAGAACACTGCTGTGCAATAAAAGACAAGTGCAAATTATAGAAGTTTTTGCAGAAAGGTATGTGAACACAGCTGATGATCAAGGAGCAGAGCAGAGATGTTCAAACTAAGGCCTGAGGTGCCAGTGTTTCAGGAATCTGGGGCTCTGATGCACTGCATCACTTCAAGTTTCAGTTCTCACATGTTAGCAGGGCATAAAATGCACTATGCATAATGTAATGGAAGACATCTTGAAAATACATTTCCCTCCATTTTCCTTTTCTCAGCAAATGTAGAGACAACAGCAATCATCAGTCTTACCTGAGTTTGAAATTCTGTACTAGCTGAAGAACTTCTCCCAGGGCAATACTGCAAATTTCTCATATCTCTGACACTGTTATTTTGACCTATGTCCCTTCTTGAAATACAAAAACAGGGTAGGGATTAATTTTGATTATGCTGTGGTGTAGACATTTATTTCTGCTGCCCTTTTAGCCCCTGTGAAACCTCCTCAGACTTGAAGCTCCCATTCTCCCCCAAAAAATTAATAGAGATGGAAAAAGAACTCTTCAGGAACGGCATTTTTTGGAAATGTGATAGAATTAATTTATATTAGAAAGACCAAAAGATGAATTTAAAATAAAAGATGTAAAAAATGAAAAAGAATGCCTGTCTGAACAATTTCTCTAATGATTTGGACAAAAAAAACCACAGAATTTTGGAAATAGTCTGAGAGAATGGCACAAATGGGAAACAGCTTGGTGGAGGTGTCAGGATGACACCTTTCCTGGGTCACAGACAGCTTAGTGATGGACACTGTCTATAATCTTTATTGCCAACCCCAGAAGCCATTGACATACAGATAGTGGTGTTTTGTTTGTTTTAACTTTATGTTGTTTGTTTTTAGAAATTTGAAAATCAAAATTTACATGTTTGTCCAGCCTCAAGCATCTAATTATGTATGCAATTATCTTATGTTACAATAGATTTATTTCAGTCAGTTTCTTAATCTACAATAAAACCTGGGTAACGACACTCACCTCCTTGCTTAACTTTCTGTTTTTAATTTATATTACTTAATTTATCCAGGCATTGGTTATTCAGTTCAACTCAAAACATTCTTAAAGGGATCTCCAAAATACTTTGGAATGATGGAAAAAATGGGACATAAGTCTCTAAAAGGAAAATTTCTTTCTCTTTTTAAAAAAAAACAAAATCAATCAATAATCAGGAAACAAAAGTTGTAAATTAAAGGAAGGAAGGAAGGAAGGAAGGAAGGAAGGAAGGAAGGAAGGAAGGAAGGAAGGAAGGAAGGAAGGAAGGAAGGAAGGAAGGAAGGAAGGAAGGAAGGAAGGAGAGTCATAACTGGTGTTAGCCTAGAGAGTTTGATTAGCACTAGAAGACTTACTGTAAGGAATGTGGAGTGTGATTCTGAGTAGAACTATAAAAACAGAGCACATAATAAACACAGTAGAAATGTTTGCAACTCAAAGAACTTAAATTGAGGCTCTGATGAC